ATGTTGGTGCTGCTGGAATCTAATAACCCTAGACCAGAACTGAAGTGATCATACACTCTATGTTGGTGGTGCAGGAATCTAATAACCCTAGCCTAGAACTGAAGTAATCATACACTCCTATGTTGGTGCTGCAGGAATCTAATAGCCCTAGACCTGAACTGCAGTGATCATACACTCCTATGTTGGTGCTGCAGGAATCTAATAGCCCTAGACCTGAACGGAAGAGATCATACACTCCTGTGTTGGTGCTGCGGGAATCTAATAACACTGGACCTGAACTGCAGTGATCATACACTCCTATGTTGGTGCTGCAGGAATCTAATAACCCTAGACCAGAACTGAAGTGACCATACACTCCTATGTTGGTGCTGCAGGAATGAAATAGCCATAGTCCTGAACTGAAGTGATCATACACTCCTTTGTTGGTGCTGCAGGAATCTAATAACCCTAGACCAGAACTGAAGTGATCACACACTGTTATGTTTGTCTTGCAGGAATCTAATAACCCTAGAATAGAACTGAAGAGATCACACCCTCGTATGTTGGTATTGCAGGGTTCTAATAACCCCACACCAGAACTGTGCATGCAGTGATCACACACTTTTATGTTGGTACTGGATGGATCTAATAACCCCTGACCAGAACTGCAGTGATCACACTCTCTTATGTTGGTGCTGGAGGGATCTAATAACCCTAGGCCAGAACTGAAGTGGTCACACAATCCTAAGTTGGTACTGCAGGGTTCTAATACCTCTTGACGAGAACTGAAGTGATCACATACTCCTATGTTGGTCTTGTGCGAATCTAATAACCCTAGATCAGAACTGAATTGATCACATCCTCTTTTGTTGGTACTGGAGGATTCTAATATCCCCAGACCCGAACTGCAGTGATCACACACTCCTATGTTGGTGCTGCAGGAATCTAATAATCCTAGACCAGAACTGCAGTGATCACATTCTCTTATGTTGGTGCTGCAGGAATCTAATAATCCTAGGCCAGAACTGAAGTGATCATGCACTCCTATGTTGGTGCTGCAGGAATCTAATAACACTAGACCTGAACTGCAGTGATCACACACTCCTATGTTTGTCTTGCAGGTATCTAATAACCCTAGACCAGAACTACAGTGATCACACACTCCTATGTTTGTCTTGCAGGGATCTAATAGCCCTAGACCTGAACTGCAGTGATCACACACTCCTATGTTGGTGCTGCAGGAATCTAATAACCCTAGACCAGAACTGAAGTGATCATACACTCCTATGTTGGTGCTGCAGGAATCTAATAACCCTAGACCAGAACTGAAGTAATCATACACTCCTATGTTGGTGCTGCAGGAATGAAATAGCCATAGTCCTGAACTGAAATGATCATACACTCCTTTGTTGGTGCTGCAGGAATCTAATAACCCTAGACCAGAACTGAAGTGATCACACACTGTTATGTTTGTCTTGCAGGAATCTAATAACCCTAGAATAGAACTGAAGAGATCACACCCTCGTATGTTGGTATTGCAGGGTTCTAATAACCCCACACCAGAACTGCGCATGCAGTGATCACACACTTTTATGTTGGTACTGGATGGATCTAATAACCCCTGACCAGAACTGCAGTGATCACACTCTCTTATGTTGGTGCTGGAGGGATCTAATAACCCTAGGCCAGAACTGAAGTGGTCACACAATCCTAAGTTGGTACTGCAGGGTTCTAATACCTCTTGACCAGAACTGAAGTGATCACATACTCCTATGTTGGTGCTGCAGGAATCTAATAGCCCTAGCCCTAGACCTGAACTGAAGTGATCATACACTCCTATGTTGGTGCTGCAGGAATCTAATAGCCCTAGACCTGAACTGAAGTGATCATACACTCCTATGTTGGTGCTGCAGGAATCTAATAACACTAGACCTGAACTGCAGTGATCACACACTCCTATGTTGGTGCTACAGGAATCTAATAGCCCTAGACCTGAACTGCAGTGATCACACACTCCTATGTTGGTGCTGCAGGAATCTAATAACACTAGACCTGAACTGCAGTGATCACACACTCCTATGTTGGTGCTGCTGGAATCTAATAACCCTAGACCAGAACTGAAGTGATCATACACTCCTATGTTGGTGGTGCAGGAATCTAATAACCCTAGCCTAGAACTGAAGTAATCATACACTCCTATGTTGGTGCTGCAGGAATCTAATAGCCCTAGACCTGAACTGCAGTGATCATACACTCCTATGTTGGTGCTGCAGGAATCTAATAGCCCTAGACCTGAACGGAAGAGATCATACACTCCTGTGTTGGTGCTGCGGGAATCTAATAACACTGGACCTGAACTGCAGTGATCATACACTCCTATGTTGGTGCTGCAGGAATCTAATAACCCTAGACCAGAACTGAAGTGACCATACACTCCTATGTTGGTGCTGCAGGAATGAAATAGCCATAGTCCTGAACTGAAGTGATCATACACTCCTTTGTTGGTGCTGCAGGAATCTAATAACCCTAGACCAGAACTGAAGTGATCACACACTGTTATGTTTGTCTTGCAGGAATCTAATAACCCTAGAATAGAACTGAAGAGATCACACCCTCGTATGTTGGTATTGCAGGGTTCTAATAACCCCACACCAGAACTGTGCATGCAGTGATCACACACTTTTATGTTGGTACTGGATGGATCTAATAACCCCTGACCAGAACTGCAGTGATCACACTCTCTTATGTTGGTGCTGGAGGGATCTAATAACCCTAGGCCAGAACTGAAGTCGTCACACAATCCTAAGTTGGTACTGCAGGGTTCTAATACCTCTTGACGAGAACTGAAGTGATCACATACTCCTATGTTGGTCTTGTGCGAATCTAATAACCCTAGATCAGAACTGAATTGATCACATCCTCTTTTGTTGGTACTGGAGGATTCTAATATCCCCAGACCCGAACTGCAGTGATCACACACTCCTATGTTGGTGCTGCAGGAATCTAATAATCCTAGACCAGAACTGCAGTGATCACATTCTCTTATGTTGGTGCTGCAGGAATCTAATAATCCTAGGCCAGAACTGAAGTGATCATGCACTCCTATGTTGGTGCTGCAGGAATCTAATAACACTAGACCTGAACTGCAGTGATCACACACTCCTATGTTTGTCTTGCAGGAATCTAATAACCCTAGACCAGAACTACAGTGATCACACACTCCTATGTTTGTCTTGCAGGGATCTAATAGCCCTAGACCTGAACTGCAGTGATCACACACTCCTATGTTGGTGCTGCAGGAATCTAATAACCCTAGACCAGAACTGAAGTGATCATACACTCCTATGTTGGTGCTGCAGGAATCTAATAACCCTAGACCAGAACTGAAGTGATCATACACTCCTATGTTGGTGCTGCAGGAATCTAATAACCCTAGACCAGAACTTAAGTGATCATACACTCCTATGTTGGTGCTGCAGGAATCTAATAACACTAGACCTGAACTGCAGTGATCACACACTCCTATGTTGGTGCTACAGGAATCTAATAGCCCTAGACCTGAACTGCAGTGATCACACACTCCTATGTTGGTGCTGCAGGAATCTAATAACACTAGACCTGAACTGCAGTGATCACACACTCCTATGTTGGTGCTGCTGGAATCTAATAACCCTAGACCTGAACTGAAGTGATCATACACTCCTATGTTGGTGCTGCAGGAATCTAATAACCCTAGACCAGAACTGAAGTGATCATACACTCCTATGTTGGTGGTGCAGGAATCTAATAACCCTAGCCTAGAACTGAAGTAATCATACACTCCTATGTTGGTGCTGCAGGAATCTAATAGCCCTAGACCTGAACTGCAGTGATCATACACTCCTATGTTGGTGCTGCAGGAATCTAATAGCCCTAGACCTGAACTGAAGTGATAATACACTCCTGTGTTGGTGCTGCGGGAATCTAATAACACTGGACCTGAACTGCAGTGATCATACACTCCTATGTTGGTGCTGCAGGAATCTAATAACCCTAGACCAGAACTGAAGTAATCATACACTCCTATGTTGGTGCTGCAGGAATGAAATAGCCATAGTCCTGAACTGAAATGATCATACACTCCTTTGTTGGTGCTGCAGGAATCTAATAACCCTAGACCAGAACTGAAGTGATCACACACTGTTATGTTTGTCTTGCAGGAATCTAATAACCCTAGAATAGAACTGAAGAGATCACACCCTCGTATGTTGGTATTGCAGGGTTCTAATAACCCCACACCAGAACTGCGCATGCAGTGATCACACACTTTTATGTTGGTACTGGATGGATCTAATAACCCCTGACCAGAACTGCAGTGATCACACTCTCTTATGTTGGTGCTGGAGGGATCTAATAACCCTAGGCCAGAACTGAAGTGGTCACACAATCCTAAGTTGGTACTGCAGGTTCTAATACCTCTTGACCAGAACTGAAGTGATCACATACTCCTATGTTGGTGCTGCAGGAATCTAATAGCCCTA